TCTGGATGATGTCCATTTTGTCTTTTAGTTGTAATTTGAAGTCGCTTTTCTGATTCATGATTTGGTGACCTGCCTTCAACAGCACTGCCCACCCCAACATGCACAGATTTCCCCTGTACTCCTTCGGGGCGGCCCACAGTTTAAGCTCTTGTGTTTCAGTCTCTGATCCATTTTAAGCTAATGTTTGTATATAGTGTGGGGTAGGGGTTGAAATTCACCTTTTCTTCTATGGCATCCATTTGTTTCAGCATCTTGTTGAAAAGACTGTCCTTCCTACATTAAATTACCTTGGCACCTCGTTCTGGACCCTCTTTCCTATTCCATTGACCAATAGGTCTATCATTACACCAATATCACACGCTCTGATTATTACACCTTATAGTAAGTCTTGATTCGGATGGTATATGTCTTTCAACTTTGTTCTTCTTTTCCAAAGTGTTTTTTTTTTCTATTTTAGTTATTTTGCTTTTCCATATGAATTTTAGAATCAGCTTATTGATTTCTGCAAAAAGTCTGCTGGGATTTTGATTAAGATTCATTAATTTGGGGTTAATTGACATGTTAACAATATTGAGGCTGCTGACCCATGAACGTGGTGTATCTTGCCATTTATTTAGGTTTTCTTTAATATACATAATTTTAAAAAATAACCACTAAGGGTGCCAAGACAATTACATGGGGGAAAGAATAGTCTTGGTGTTAGGACAAGTGGATATCTGCATGCAAAATACTGAAGTTGAACCCCTACCTCACACCACATACAAAAATTAATTCGAACTGGACCAAAGACCTAAATATAAGAGCTAAAATCTTAAAACTCTTAGATTAGATAATAGGAATAAGTCTTTATGACTTTGGATTAGGCAATCGATTCTTAAAACAGTATCAAAGCACAAGCAACAAAAGAAACATAGACAAATTGATTTTCATCAAATATAAAAAGTTTTGTGCTTCAAAGGACACCGTCAAGAAAGTGAAAAGATAACCCACAGAATAGAACATTTTTGCAAATCCTACATCTGATAAGGAACTTCTATGGAAAATATAAATAACTCTTAGAACTTAGCAATAAAAAAGACAAAGAGACCAATTCAAGTACATGAGCAAAGGATCAGCATACATATCTCTCCTAAGATTTATTGGCCCTTTAATGACTATATTGGCCAATAACACATGAAAAGATGGTCAACAACATGAGTCATCAGAAAAATGCAAATAAAAAACAGAACAAGCACCACTTCACACCCACTAGGATGGCTGTAGTAACTTTTTTAATGGCCAATGGCAAAGCTGGAAGAAGAGGTGGAGGAATTGGAACCCTCATGCACTTGTGGGAGCTCTGCGAAAGGTTAGGCAGAGAGAGACTACCATCTGATCCAGGGGGCATGTCCACTCCAGGGTATAGACCCAAGAGAAATGAAAACATGTCCACACCAAAACTTGAACACATATGTTTATAGTAGCATAACAGCCAACTGTTCACTACTTGATGAATGGATAAATAAAATGTGACCTATCCATAATAGGGAATATTATTTGACAATTAAAAAACGCTGCTACAGGCTACAACCTGGGTGAGCCTTGAAATCATTATGAGAAGTGGAAGAAACCAGTCACAAAGGGCTACAGAATATATGGTTGCTTTCATATGAAATGTCCAGAATAGGTAAATCTACAGAAACAGAAAATACATTAGTGGTTGCCTGGGTTTGGGGAGGGTGGAGGGAGGGGCAGGGAGGGAGGGATAGAGTTTCTTTTGGGGGAAGACAAAAATGGTTTAAAACTTATTGTGGTGATTGATGGTTGAACAATTCTGTGGATATACTAAAATCCACTGAATTCTACGCTTTAAATGGATGAATTCTATGATATGTGAATTACATTTTAATAAAGCTGTTATTTTTAAAAGGGATTTTAAAAAAATCCTCATCCAAGGATATGTTTTTGTCGTTTTTAGAGAGAGGAAGGGGGAGAAAGAAACATTGCTGTGAGAGAGGAACATTGATCGGTTGCCTCTCGTAGATGCCCCAACGGGGAATGGGACCCACAGCCTTTTTGGTGCACAGGACACGCTCCAACGAACTGAGCCACCAGCCGGGGCAAAAGGGGATTTTTTAATAGGGGGGGTTGGTTGGGGGGAGGCGGGGCTTTTGCAAACCCAGTGCAGCTCCTGGCCGTCCACATGCAATCTGTCGTCCGGAGGCTCAGAACTGACCTAATGAATAGCCTTCAGGTGCGTGTGGTCAGAATAGCTGGTGACACCCGCGGCTTCCCAGCTCCCTTCCGCCAGGGGCTGAGTCCAATCTCAGGGACCTTTGTCTCTGACAGTGAGTGGACGTTTTCTCTTAGAAGAAAACGGAAACGGGCGCACACACCACTCATTGTTTCTGAACTTGCTGCCAGAAACGCTGGCCGCGCGGGGCCGGGATGTCGGCAGCCCTCTGGGACGGTTCGGGGCACAAGGCCTCCGCTCTCCCTGCCTCGGGTTAGAGCTGCTTTGGGTCGGTTTAAGCTGTAAACAGATTTAAACAACTCTCTGCACAAGCTGTGTATACACTCCAAACACAGACCATCTATCACCTTGGAGATGAAAGCTGGCCTTGTAGCATTTATTGATTCTTACTTAGCTACTCTCCCAGGGGCCAAACCAGTTAGGAGACCAGCCCGGCCGCTACCAGCTTCTGTGTGCCTGTCATTGTCGCCGTCTTTGCTGTCTGCTCTGCTATTGGTTACTGAATAGTGTGCTTGTTTTTTACATAAGTGTATCTCGTCATAAACAGAAGATCCCATTAAAAATAGACCCAAGGAAAACAGCATGTTGTTCATTCTAACCAAATGCTGTTGCCTGATGAGCCGTGAGCCTGAGGCTCCTGGTTAAGCGGGGCCATCGGCAGGGGCTTACAGGGTGCGGAGGGCCTGACGGAGTGGCTTCGTGAACGTGGAGGAGTAGGCATCAGAGGAGCCTCGGGGGCAGAAGCTGTCACAGGGTAGAAAAGGGGAATTTCTTTTCCCTTAAGATTCTAATACGTAGTTGCAAATGACAGACACCCAATTTGGATCAGCAAAAGCAAGAGAGAAAATGTATTGGTTCCCATATCTGATGGAATGGCTGGATCCAGGTGTTAAATGGTGTCAGAAATCTCTCTCCATCCTGTGGCTCCTGTGTGTTCGCTTTACTCTAGGGTCGTCTCCCCACTGGCGGTGCCAAGTACCACCGACGTAGTCATCTTAGCTGGAAGGGAGTCCCTTCCGCAGTTATTCCAGCATGAAGTCACAGAAGTGAGTCCCAGGGGTCCAAGCTGGGGTGGACGTCAATCTGGCCACTCACCCAGCTTTGGCTGGAGGAGGGGCAGTTCACCTGCGGGGACACCAGAGCAAGGGGAGAGGATGCTGGAGCAGGCACCTGGCTGCCCACCGCCATGCCCCAACCTCAGGGGCTCTCAGAGGAGGGCGAGGGGCATTTCAGCCAGGGAGTCGACGGCTTCATGAAGGGGGCGGCCTGCAGCCAGCTGGGCGCTGGGCCCGGGCGCTCCTGCTGCAGGTGCCCCTCGGTATCGGTACCGGGGAGGAGGAGGAGGAGGACACAAGCTCCCCCTGCCCGCTCCCAGGTCTTGGTTAATCTCCCTAAGAAGCAGCCTCCCCATGCAGCTGGGAAACAATCAGAAAGGTCAGGCAGGCCTCAGCCACCCATGCCCGCACCCTGCTCAGACCCCCCCCCCTTCCACCCCGGTCCACAGGCAGCCCAGCGCGCTGTTCAGACGGCAGATTTGAGGGCATCACGCCTCCAAAGGTTCAACTCTCTTGGGCTTGAAACCCAAATCCTTAGCTGGCCCACAGGGCCCTGCTCCCCTTCCAGGCTCCTTTGCTCCTGCTGTCCCCTCCCCCCCTCTGACTCTGCTTCCCCCAGGGAACCCTGCTGTGACCTCCTCCAGGTACCCTCAGCCGGGGGTGTGTGAGCAGCTGTAATAACAGCAGCTGACAGGAGCCAGACAGTGATCCACATTCCGTATTTCATTGTCTGCACAACAAGCCTCTGAGGAAGAGGATATTATTGTTCCCATTGTACAGATGAGGCAACTGAGGCACTGAGCAATGATTTACTCAGAGTCACAGCTGGAAAGTGGCAGAGCCAAATTCAAAGCCAGACATTTCAGCTCTAGAGTCTTCATTCTTGTAATCCTCACCTGAGGATTTTCCCCCCATTGATTTTTGGAGAGAGTGGAAGAGGGAGGAGAGAGAGAAAGAGAGAGAGAGAGAGAGAGAGAGAGAGAGAGAGAGAGAGAGAGAGAGATTGAGATTCGTTGCCTCCCACACAAGCCCCAACTGGGACAGGGATCAAACCCGCAACCAAGGAATCGAACCTGCAACCCCTTGGTCGGCCCCAGCCACTGATCCAAACCGGCCAGGGCCAGAGTCCTGGTTCTTAACCGCCACCCTTCCTGCCTCTGGGAGCTCAGAGCTCAGGCTCCCCATCCTGATCGCATCCTGTAACCAGGCATTTCTGATGGACTGTTTCCTCAGCGTTTGCCCCACTTGCTCACAGCTTGTCGTGATGGTAGCTAACCACACGGAGCTCTTAGCCTGCGCCAGGCCCTGTGCTGAGCACTCTTCAGGGATCCCCTACTTCACCCTCTCGGCAGGCCTCTAAACTAGGCTCTGTTACCCCCCTTTTACAGACAGTGAATCCGAGGCTGCGGGTTTAAGTGACTTGGCTGCTAGGCTGGAAACTCCCGGAGGGCAGAAACGTGTTCGTTTGCTCAGTAGTGAGTCCAGAGGAACTAATCCAGTGCCTGGCATACAGTAGGCACTCAATAAATGCTTTTTGGTTGGATGGAGGAGTGGATGGATGATGAGAGATGGCAAAAAGGAAGGAAAAGGGGAGGGGGGGAGGAGTGCATATGCAGCCTGGGCTGCCCGTCTCCCGTGGGTGCTGTGGCCAAGCCGGGACGTCCTCGGCGCGAGGCGGGTGTCCTAGCTGCACGGCCTGCGTGTCTCTGCAGGTGCCACGATGCAGGTGAAGAAGTACCTGGTCAAGTGCCTGCACCGGCTGCAGAAGGGCCCGGGCTACACCTACAAGGAGCTGCTGGTGTGGTACTGCGACAACACCAACACCCACGGCCCCAAGCGCATCATCTGCGAGGGGCCCAAGAAGAAGGCCATGTGGTTTGTGCTCACGCTGCTCTTCGCCTCCATCGTCTTCTGGCAGTGGGGCGTCTTCATCAGGACCTACCTGAGCTGGGAGGTCAGCGTCTCGCTCTCCGTGGGCTTCAAGACCATGGACTTCCCCGCCGTCACCATCTGCAATGCCAGCCCCTTCCAGTAGGTGGTCCCTGGAGCGCTAGGCCGCCTCCCTGTGCCTTTTTCTCCCTCTCCTTCCCGCTTCCTCCCAGCTTTCCTTTTCTCCCTTCCTTTTCTTTCCCTTTCTTTTTCTTACCCCCCTTTCCCTCCTTTATCTCCCTATTCCTTTCCTTTCCTTCCCTTCTTTCTTTCTTTCCCTATTTGCTTTCATCCCTTTGCAGCAAGATTCAAAATTCGTAAACATCCTAGGCTTAAAGAGAACCTGGGAAATATCTAGCAGTCCCTGTCTTCAGGCACACCAGTGCCTACTGATTGCTTCAGTATGTGTGTTTAGTGCACCTACTATGTGCCAGGCACTGCTATGGGCACTGGGAATACATCAGTGATTAGAAGTCCCTGCCCTCTTCACAGCCTACAAAAGAAAACAGACATCAATCTTTTTTTTCCTGAAATATTAAATTAATCATAATAGTTCAATAATTATAAAGTGATGATAAAAAAATATATATATATGTACAGCAGCCATGCATCGAGGGCTTGTGAAATGCCAGGCAGTGTGTTGAGTGTTCTTGGGTAACTCATGTAATTCTAATCCACACAACTACGAGGGTCACTCCTGTCAGAGCCCCAAGTTACGGGCCAGGAAATGGAGACTCAGAAAGGTCAAGGAACCTGCCCAGAGACCACAGTGGGCAACGGTGGCATTTGAACTCGGGCCTGATCTGATCCAGAGCTGCCACTGTTTAAGCACTTGATGGCAAGGCCCATGAGAGGGACACACAAGGAGACCCACCCTAGCCAGGGTTGAGGAGAGGTGGCGGGTCAGTCAGAGAAAAATGCCCTGAGGAATGAGTACAGTTAGCCAACCTGGTCGGGCGCGGAGAGCACTCGAGTGGAGGGCACAGCATGTGCCAGGGGCCGGCGTGAGACGGAGTTTGGTGCATTCAGAGACCTGAAAGAAGGGCCAGCGCGGCTGAGTCACGGAGAGCACTCTCCTCCACAAGCAGGTCCTCGAAGGGCATGCACACGCCGGTTGCATCTGCAGTTATAGGAAACCCCTTTGTAGTCATAGGGGAGGACCCTGGGTGATTACAGTAAAACAGCCTCCGTCCAGGCTCTGTCCCGAGTGCTTCATGGGCCTCACTCCCTGCTCCTCCCAGCAGCCTCTGTGATTAATATTGTTTCCCCGAGTTTGTAGATGAGAGAACAGCGCCTCAGAGAGGTTCATTTGCCCAAGGCCACCCAGATAGTAAGTGGATTTGAACCACAGTCCAGGCCGGGACCCGCCCAGCTCGACAGCAGCCCGGAACAGCGAGGCGGTAGCAGCAGCCCTCGCCTCCACGGCGCACCTTCCACCTTCCCAAGCCCCTCCTGTGCGCCCCAGGGGCCAGTTCACGGCCAGGGGCAGGCAGCGTCCATGTCCGAGGCGGATGGCAGCACCGGCTGCCCTACACCTTTGTACCCAGCTAGGGCCTGGGTGAGGGTTTAATGCCTCTCCTGCAGGAAGTCCTCCTGCCCCAGCTGACACACTGGTGACCACACAGTGGGGTTGGGTCTTGAATCTGTTGGGTGTGGGGTGACTGGGGTACAGGGACTGGGGGGGCACTCTCTGGTATGGACACATTTCTACCACATGAACTGCTCACGGTTCCAATGTGGGAGCCTCCAGGGGCTGAGACCAAGTACTGGAGCCCAGCCCACATCCCATCCACCTTCTCCCTCCTGACACTGGCTCCTGTTCCCCAAATCACTGCCGGGAAAGGGGGACCTCGGGGTCACAGACCTGCCCCTCTGCCCCTTCCCCTCCTGGGAGGGGGACAGCAGACGCCCCGCCACCCGTGTACAAACAGCATGCCCGCTGCAGCCCACACACCCAGGGCCCAGGCTCAGCTCTGCCCTCATCAGTGGGTGAGCTGGGGAGTCACAGCAGCTCCCACAGCCTCAGTTCTGCGTTGTCCTCTGCACCTTCACAGTGCCCGGCGCACAGTAGGTGCTCACTAAATACTCGGTGCACGCATACAGGAGTGAGTGGGCACACGCATGGGCGGGTGGGTGGAGAAGTGCGTGCTTGGGCAGGGCGTTCTCGCACACGGTGGCAGCTGTGCTGGAGCACGAGGGGGTCCCGGGCTACAGTGGCTGTTCCTGCTGCCCCGGCCCCCTGACCAGTCCTCTCCCCACCCAGGTATTCTAAAGTCAAGCATTTGCTGAAGGACCTGGATCAGCTGATGGAAGCCGTCCTGGAGAGGATCGTGGCTCCCGAGCAACCCCTTTCCAACGCCACCAGGGCCCTGAACTTCACCCTCTGGAACCATACGCCCCTGGTCCTTATTGACGAGCGGAACCCCCACCACCCTGTGGTCCTCGACCTCTTTGCAGACAATCACAATGTCTCGGCAAGCGGCAGCCCAGCACCCGGAAGGGCCTGCAATGCCCAGCAGTGCAAAGTAGCCATGAGGCTGGTAAGTGGGCCCAGGCCCACGTCCACCAAGGGCCCTACCCAGTGAGGTTGGTGGGCGTTGCTTTCCTCTAATAGCCGGGGCCTTGCTGGGGGAGAGGCAGCGCCTGTTCTGTGCGTTTGCCAAGCTGTTTTAAACATAGAAATAGCTGGTATGTTAGTCAAGACATTTTGGATGCAAGTGACCCAGCTCAAACTAGCTTAAGCAAAACTGATTCACCGGCTCACATACTAGGAAGCCCACAGGTACATTGGGTTCAGGGGTGGTTGGATCCAGGTGTTCAGATGCTGTCGCCAAGACTTTGTCTTGGTTCACCATGTTTTGTTAAATTTATTGGGGTGACATTGGTTAATAAAAGTACATAGTTTCAGGTGTACACCCCAATAGCAGTCATCTGCACTGTTTTCAGTTGACTTCACTCTCTGGTCGGCTCTCTCCACTTGGAGGGCCGAGACCATGCCAGACACACATCCCCCAGCTCAGCACTCTCCCCAGAATGCCCCTCCTTCCCAGTGACCACGGCAAAAGTCCTGGGCCTGATCATCAGGTCACATGCTCAGCCCCAAACCAATCACGTGGGCTGGAGGTGGGCTCTCCTGGTCAGACCACATGCATCAGGAGCAAGAGGGGAGGGGTGGCTCCCTGAAGGACGAATTCAGTCTTATTATCAATAGACAGGGGTACAGCCCTAGCTGGTTTGGCTCAGTAGATAGAGCATCAGCCCTCAGACTGAAGGGTCCCAGGTTCGATTCTGGTCAAGGGCACACACCTTGGTTGCAGGCTCAATTCCCAGCCCTGGCCAGGGCGCATGCAGAAGGCAGCCAATCGATGTGTCTCTCTCACATCAATGTTTCCCTCTCTCTGTCTCTCCCCCTCCCTTCCACTCTAAAAATCAATGGGAAAATATCTGTGGGTGAGGATTAACAACAACAAAGAGACAGGGACAGAAACATCAGGCAGGTGTGAGACCGCAGCCGTGCATACAGTGGACACGGGAGCACCGCTGCACGGGGAGGCGCCTGCGCTGCCTGGAGCTGCCCCGGGGCCTGTGCCGTCGACCCCGGGCCCCACTCTGCAGAATCTGAGTGGTCGCTCTGCGCCAGAGCCCGGGAGTCGTACGTCAACGAGCTCCCTGGTGGTTCTGATAATACCCCTGCTGCTTGGGGACCCAGGCCAGGGCACACTCTCCCCAGAGAGAGGCCACTGCCTCCCGTGCCACCACGTGGCCAGGGCTCGCCCACATCTCCACACAAACCAGCACCTAGCACGAGGCTCGCAGGGCCCGCTGCCAGCTTGAACACAGTGCCCAGCTGCTTTCGGTCAGTGGCCTGGCTGCCCATGTCCATGTCCTCATCGGCAAGGCAGGCGTGTCCCTGGTGGCCGTACCAGCCGTGTGTGTGGTGTGTGTGTGTGTGTGTGTGTGTGTGTTGCATGTGTGCACACATACAGTGCAGGCGAGGTCTGCTGCTGTCACACCTTATTAACCGCTCTGGGCCGCGGGTTCTTCATGGTGGTGGGGTTGCTATGAAAACTGAATGGGATCATAAAGTAAAGCCTGAGACAGCGCCTGGCCTGAGTGAGTGGGAGGATTACTCCCCAGGGGGGCTCAGAGGCCTCCAGCAGCTGCTGAGGCCACGCGCAGCTGGCCTGAAGGGCTGACCCAGCATGGAAGGCCCTCCGGTGTCGGGGTCAGGAGGAGGGCGGCTATGGGATGAGGCGAGCAGAGGCAGAGAGGTGAACCAGGGCCAGTGGCTTCCGTGTCTGCATGCTGAGCTGGGCTTGGGGGAGGGGGCAGCTGCAGCGAGCAGAGGGCCTCACCAGGCTCAGGCTGAGAGGCCAGCCCCTCCTCAGCCCAGGGGCAGCCCAGGGTCTTCGTGGGCCCCGCTCTGGGAGCCCAGGCTGGGCTGGGAAAGGAGCCAGGGGGTCAGAGGGTGTGAGTGTCTGTCTGCACAGGGACTCACATATGTGAGCAGGGTAGCAGGGATATGTGTGTGCATAGTTGTGACCATGGCATCATGTGGCTGGAATGTCAGAAAGTGGCGCCTATCTCGGTGTGTGTGTGTGTGTGTGTGTGTGCATGTGTGTGCATGTAAGGGTGTGGGGGGGTGTGTGTTCACTCGAGCTGAAGGCGCCATGCGGGTGGAGGCTGTGTAAGTCCTTGTGGCCAGGCAGCTGTGGATGAGGGGCAGCCCGGGGGCCCAGGGTGCGGCCCGGGCAGGGACAGCCGGCGGGGCACTCTCGGCCCACGCCCTTGGGCAGCGATGGGCCGGCCAGCAGCCCTGCACCCACAGGATCCCTCCGTCTCCGCAGTGCTGCCGCAACGGGACCGTGTGCACCTTCCGGAAATTCATCAGCGCCACCCAGGCCGTGACAGAGTGGTACACCCTGCAGGCCACCAACATCTTCTCCCAGGTGCCAACCCAGGAGCTGGTGAAGATGGGCTACTCGGGCGAGCAGCTGATCCTGGCCTGCCTGTTCGGGGCCGAGCCCTGCAGCTACAG